ATTTTATTGCCCACTCACTGAAAATCAGTGATTTTATTGCCCACTCAGGTAGCTTCAGGCAGGCCATAAATTGCTCTTTAATGAATGAAAAAACACCCATTTCTTAGAATGAAAGAAATGTGAAAAATGTAAACTAATGAAATTAATTTACAATTTCAAAGGGGCTAAAAGAGATGCAAAATGTCACAAATTGTTCTGCCACCAGCTGCATAGTTTTCGAGTTTTCAGGATGAGAGACAGCACACCTGAGTGATCAAATGTTAATGACAAAACTTCCTGGATTACTTATTGCAAATTACTCTTTCTCAACCCAACCTTTCTCACAGGGCCTCCAAATTGGATGGAGGAAGTGCAACAATGTTATTGTGAGCTCCTAAATGAAAAGCAGGTTAAAAAATGAAAAAATATAAATTACAACCATTGTAACTGTTTTAAATGGAGTGGGGCAGCATAATAAATCTAAATAATAACATTAAAAGTATAAAATTGAATATATCTATAATTAAAGATAAATTTTAACATGATAATTTTTGAATATATCTATAATTAAAGATAAATTTTAACATGATAATTTTTTTGACTTTGGGAGGGGAGCATACATTATTTAACTTTCATGGCCATTATCCCATGGCCTTTGTTGCTTCCCTAGGTTATGCGGGTGGTGAATTCTTATTCGTACTTTGCTTTTAATATTGTATGACAAAAGGCATAGAATTCAGGGACATTCTATTCCTTGTGTAGCTGGAATCTTATTTTTAAAAGTAATCCAATTTGCTTTACCTCTTCTTATTCCTCAATCTGAAGAAACTAAGGTTCTCTCTTTCACTATCTAGCATGGGAAAAACATTTTGGTATCTTGGTTTTTTTAAGTATAGGTAGTCTTTGCTTAAGAAATTGGGATTTCAGTTATTGAACAAACCACTCGTTAACTAAAAAAACCAAACTGAAATCTTCAGGATTTTAGCTCTGTTCTATAACTTACTACAAGGTTCCCCTCCCTTCCGTGCATTCTTCCAGCCTCACAAAACGATTTCATCTCCCCTCGATCCATAACCATGGTGAGTGTGTTATGGCTTTTGTGATGATCAAAAGTGCTTTAGAGACCATATGCCATCCTTTCCAAAGCTGTCATTAAATGAGTGATTAGTTGTTAAGTGAGAACTATATGTAAAAACAAAACCATTGTAGGGAGGAAGTATGTCAAATTTAATAGAAATCAGGGCAAAATTTTTGAGCTACATGCTTTTAAAAGGGGTTGCTTTTTTAAAAAAAAATGCCTGTAGAATTTTTGCTTTTTTATCAAAATTAGCCAAAAACTTATAGGAAAGCCAAATTGCAATTAATAAACTAAATGTGGCAAATCTGATATAGAACTCAATGCAAGATTTTCAATGGTTATTTAATTTCTCATTTAAAATGAGAATAATAATTTGTTTGAGTGGAGAATATAATGAAATTTGCTGCAAAAATATGCCCTAGAGTGATAATATATATGTACTCAAATTTAATCCAGAAGGATGGGGGTCAGGTTTTGTGCAAAAGATAGATTGGAAAGAGGCAATAATCCTTTTTGTGAATGTATTACAGTCAACAGTTATGGAGGTTTCAGAGAAATACAAAAAAAAATAATATATTTGTGTTTTGTTTAAAAGAGAGGTATTCCTTAAACCAGGGGTTCCCAAGCTATGGGCTGCGGCCCAACCACAAGGCCACGGTCTAATTGCCACTGGGCTGTGTGAGTGGCTGGCCGGTGGGCATGCGTCTACGTGCGTGCACAGCCCACTCGTGCAAGTGTCATCCCAGGTGTTTGCCGTCCCACTCGTGTGAGCGTTGTCGCAGGTGCTCGCGTCCTGCTTGCACACATAGGCCCTTGTCCCTCCCACGAAATCATCCCCTCTTTCCCACTTCCTCGTCTCCAAGCCACCAACCCAGAAAGGTTGGGTAACTCTGCCTTAAACCATTTGAGTAGTAGATAAGACAGCCATAGAATTGCTTCTGTGAATTGTTTCTTCATAGAAGAAAGTGAGTGAAGGAAAGTGAATGATCAAATAGCATTTCTCCGTCCAAGTCTTTCCATCCTTGAAACATTCTAAGATTGAGATAAGTTATATAATTTGATCACAAGGATCCTTTTTTTAAAAAAAAATATTCCATAAATATTTAGGTCAGATTCTCTGATACTGTTCAACTGGTCAAAGTTGTGTTTCCTCATTGAAATTTTAACATGTCAGAATGTTGTTATTCCCTAAAAAGTATATCGGATGAGCTGTTTATATAACGAGTTTGCATAACTGTGGAACACTACAGTCAATAGAAAAATGAAATGGAACCTGAGATTCATTCCAGTCTTGCTTGCTGGTATTAGGAATCTTACAATGAAGGTTTAATTAAAGGTTTCAGTCTATCTCTCTATGCAATTTCATTGTCTCTATACCAATAATGTGTAGACAGATGTGCAAACCAGGTAAGACTTCCTAGAATTATTGACAATTCTAGTTCACATACAGAGATACCATTCCTCTCCTTTAAAACAACAACAACTGGACAGTGTAAGGATCGTATATAGGCCCATTAAGATCAAATTGTATGACAGGCTTTTAGAATATACTTTATACTTTATTGTCATTGTACATATATAAACAGTATTTTAATGTCTTTGTTATTGGTACTCCTTAATTTACTCATATTTTCCCCAAAGAAATTTTTATATCAGTTTATGCATTCTTAACTCTGATTATGTTTCTATAAGTAGCCTTTTTCTATAATATACAAAAGCACTAGGTTGTTATGGGCTGGTCTAGAGTGTTTTGTAAAAGAAAATACTAATTTCACAAAACTTGCTTTCAGATTTACATTCCAAGCAATGATATAGGTTAGGATGTCAAACTTGATTTCATTGAGGACCATATCAGGGTTGTGTTTGATCTCGGGGGCTAAGGTCGGCATGGCCAGGGTGAGAGTGGCCCGCTCGACGTCACTCATGTCAGGGGCACCTGTGGCGGTCCAGGCATGGCTGGGGTGATCCTTCCTTCCTTCCTTCCTTCCTTCCTTCCTTCCTTCCTTCCTTCC